AGAAGTTAAAATCCAAGTGTTAGGACACACCAGACATGGAACGTCAGCAGGACGAGCCTCCTCCACGCTCAGCTGGATTCCCCACAGTCCTGCTGAGGCTCCTCCAGCTGTGAAGGACTGATTTCTCAGATGTTCTCTTCAGCCAGCAGCTGGGCAGCTTTCTGAGGAGCTTTGTTCCAACACAAAGCCCAGAATCCTGGGATCCATTTACAACTCCCAGCCTTGCTGCTGCTCACAAACACCCGGATAAAAAAAGGGGCGAAGTGTAGGAGGCAAACGGGAGTGAGTGACACAGGCTAATCAGGATTTTAATCATGCTAATGGATGTGATTAACTGCATACTTGTCCCAGAAGCTCCTCGGAGTAGCCTGATAGCCAGCACGCAGCCAGGGCACGCTGCTCATCCCACCTTAATCCACAGCTACACCGTGGCTGGCACGTCACCCGCCCAGGGTACACCTGGGGCTGAGCCCTCCTCCCACCCACACAGCCTCTCTTCCCTTTTGGGCAGGGGACAGACTCCAGCATGGTGTGTTAAACTCCCTTTACAAGGGCAGTTCCAGCTCCAGGAGGCTGGAAACCCAACCTTGGCAAAGGAAAGTTAATCCAGGGCCTGTTGCGTTACACAAACCTCCCTCGATAACGCAACTACAACTCTTGTTTTTGTCTGCCAGTTTTGTTCAAATCACAGGGACACTGTGAGCTTTATCTCAGTGCTGGTATCTTGCTACTCCCCGGAGGAACTACCAATTCAGCAGTTGCCACTCTACCCGAGAAAAGTTTTGAGGCAGGGAGTAAAATAAAATAAGGCAAGGATTAAAAGAGCAGCGAGGAGCAGCCTTGTCTGAGAGCAAGGGAAGAAATCAGCCCCTTCCCTCCCTGTCTCCAGGGGAGCAAAGAATAAATAACCCAGCACCATCCCAGCTTCCAGCAGACATTTCCAGGGAACAATGTGGAACCAGGGAACCATCATTTACATGCACAGCCATTTTTACCCAGGGAGTTACCTACACTTCCCATTAACTCGGTGTCTCCTGTGTTTTCCACAGCAGCAACTGCAGAAAGTTTTGTTCTCCAGCATTCCAAAATATGGACTCTTATGGCAACACACAAAAATGAGTAATTTACTCAGAGGAGTCCAAGACTGATCTTGTTTGGGGCAAATCCTCAGCACTATCCTGACGTAATTTTTTAAGAGTGCTAGAGCATCACACCAATGTCTGCTCATAATCCTTCAGGGTCAGATTTCCCAATAATTTCAAATAAATTTAATATTTCATAATTTTTAACATAATATTAAGAACTCAGAGCAACACAGGGCACCAGTGTGAGCCACAAGTATTTCATTCTTCTCACTACCAAGTTAAAATCTGCATAGCATCTACAGCAACTGATTTCACTGACCTTTTCTTCCCACGAGAAATTCCTTCCCATGTGCGCAACACTAAGCCATGGAATTGCTTTCTGAGCTGTAGGAGGAGAAACTCCCCCATGGGATGCAGGGGTCCTACCTGCTCTGCTAGCCCAGCTGCTCCACCACAATCTCCCAGGAACCTGCTCCAGAGGCCATCCACCCTTTCTCCTGGAGATGAACCCTGTGGAGATGATGCAGCACTGGTGGCTCCAGCTCAAGGCTCGAGCTCTCTGCCCCCTCCCACGTGCTCTAATCACAGACCCCTGGCTTCTCTGATCTACAGCTGACTATGATTTCATTTGCCTTCAAGGAGGAAAGAAAGAAAGCACAGAAATAATCAGTTCAGTTGCTGTTAAAGCACGAGGAAGCTGTGGACACAGACATTTGACTAAGCAAGAGTTTCATCTGTTTCATTTGAGTCAGAAAGCACAAACACAGAGTTCCAGGAAATAACTCTGCCTTTCAGAGCACTATCAGCTTCTTCAATTTGCCTTTGAAACTGCACAGGTACCTACACAAATTATAATTTTGTTGTCTGCAATCTGACTCGCAACAACACGATGAGTAACACGCCTTGAACTCTTCATTCTCAGCGGAGGAGGCTGGAATTTTATCTCCCAATCTATGTCTGGCCTAGCAAAATAAATTATTTGGGGTTTTTCTGGACCAAACCAAGGTATAGTCACACATTATTTCGCTTTCAAGTAACCCTCACTTTCATTTGAATTGCAAGTAGCTTGAATTCATCCTGACAGACCTAAACCCTGTCTGACCAGTGGTTTCCCTGAGTCATAAGTTTGGTGCAGGTCAGAATTTGGAAGCTTGCACATCAAGACGTGGTGCAGAGAGACAAATGCAGTCCAAGAACTGAGTGGTGGAGACATCACTGGCTCAGCAAACAGCAGGTGAGATTAAGCCTGAGGTACAGGAGAGCAAGAACATGCCATGGGTGTAAACCAGACCTGAACTCTGCCACAACTCAGAGCTGACTGAATGGCTCAGATTCATTTATTTCTAGGGAAGACAGGCAACCACTCAAACACTACAGGGGTTGGGACCTCAAACATAATTACAGCTCCATTGGCTGAAATTACAGCTGTGTCAGCCCTTTTACCAGCAGGAATACGTAATTCATCTGGTTCAACTGAGCACTCCTCAGACTGCACATAACGAGCTTAAGGCTGGGAATGTAGGCCTGCCCCAGCCTCACCTTCTGCCCCTCCAAAAGCCCAACTTGCTTCTGTTCCCACTGTGGCTCAGGCTGCTGGAGGCTGGGGGTGTTTGATACCATCACAGAACAGTCTGGGCAATGCTCAAACCTTGACTGAAACTGCCTGGTGTCCCTGGGAGGGAACGGCCAGAGTGCACTGAACCCAAATAGTTCAGAATTATTACTGCCACCTGTAAATGACACTGACCAGAGGAACTCCAGTTTGGTTCCAGCAGTGGCTGGGAGCCTTGGGTGGGATTATTCACCCCCTGGCCACTCCAAACAGGGCTGCTCTCATCACTTACCACAGCACTCACAGCCAAATCAGACAGCTTGTTAGAGCAGCTCTCCAGACCTGCTGCAGCTGGCAGAGAGGAGCCCTGGTGTCCCACGGTGTCCCCACTCCTGGGAGCCTGCCTGGCATCAGTGGCCAGCACAGGCCAGTGCCTGGCACAGCCCTGCCTTTGGAGGAACAGGCTGATAAAGTCAGGATCTGCTGCCATGAGTGTCCTCCAGCAGCCTCCCCGTTTGCTCTTTAGGGCCAGGAGTGACATAATCCTCTCCTAATATCAGCTGAGGGCTCGGGGGGAACCAGGGTGACCCACACACTGCACCCATGGCAACACTGGGCTCTAGCTGAACTCCCCAGGCTGGCATCTTCAAACCACTGACACTTCTTTGTATTAGCTGATCTTTCCCTGATGTCATTTCTGCAGAGACACATAAAAACAGATTTAATAATATCCACGGCCTTCAGCTTCAGAGTCAACAATCACAGCCACAAACAGATCAGCTATTCTGCTTCAAGCTTATTATTTGTCACTAACATGTAATTATTACCAAACAAAACAAAAGACACAGGATATTGCTGCTGTTGCAACAGCAAGTAAGTTAAGCTCTTTTTCAAACTGAAAAAGCCCATCTCTTCTGATGCAAGAAGGCACAAAAGAATAAAAAATAAAACTTCAAAAGAGTCTGTGAATCCTGCAAAACGCATCTGGAAGGATAATCAGAAATTTCATTGCCAAAAATCCCTAAAGTAAATTTGACAGCCAGGTCTGCCCAGACAATGTCACCTTTGTCATAACTGTATTGTCAATGTGAAAAATTTTGAGTTACAATTTCTCTTTCTCAAATAAAGGAGGAGTTAATTAAGCTGCAACAGTACCTTATAGATACAATACCAGCAAAAAACACCAGATGGGACATCAGGCCCTGGCAAGGAGAAAAGAAGCTTTAGAGTTGTACAACTCCAGTGCAGTCCTGTCCCTTCAGTTTACAAAATGAAGCTACAGCAGCATCACATGCAGAGCAGGAGGAGCCCCGAGCAAGGCTTGTTACTCCACACTGAGACTCTGAGCAGGACTAGGATGGCTGTTGTATTATTCAAGAAGCCTTCCAGCTGGAATTGCAAACTGGGAAGAACATGATTCACTGAACAGATGATTCCAGCTTTAAAAACAAATAAAATCGGTTTTTAAAACTCTAAAATCAATGGGTTAATCTGCTATATCCATAGAGGAATCAGGGGAAGGAAATAAGTGAGGGAACAACCAAGAACCACCTAAAGAAAAGAGAAGTAAACCTCTAAGTTCAGGTTCAGGCTTTTAACACACCCCTCGAAGAGAGGCAGAGCCTACAACGCCCATACTACCAGGATACACTTAGAAGCAGAACAGCATCCGCAGAACCCAAAACTTCACCGCCGTCAGCTTAAACTTATTACCAGCAGCCCCACATCGCACCGTGGCGAACATTTATTTAATGCCCGTACCGCCGTGCTCCGCAGGAGAAGTTTGCTCATCCCGAAAGCGGGCCGGCTCCGCGGCGATGACTGAGCAGAGGCCTGGCCGGAGCCCGGCGCATCCCGGCCCGCCACACCCAGCGCCGGAGCCGCGCTCTGCCCATGCTCATCCCCGGCCCTCCTTATAAAGCCGGCAGCGAGGGACCCAGCGGGGAAGCACGGCGGTGAGGGCGGCGCGGAAAGTTTGCAGGCGTCCCGAGGAGAAGCGCGGAACCGCTGCGTCGCCCTAGAGCGAAAGGCGCGGCTCCGTGTGCCGCCCCCAGGGAGCCTGGGGGGCAAGGCCGGGGAGCCCCCGAGCCCCGGCCCCGCCGCTGCCCCCGAGCGACAAAGCCGCGCCCCGGCCGCGCCCGCTCCCTGCGCCGGCTCCCCCGGGAGATGCTCGGGGATGCTGCGGGCGCTCCCTGCGCGGCTCCCAAGCCACGCAGCCCCGGCCACCTCCCGGCCCGGCCCGGCGGACACCGGCGAGGCCGGAGCCCCCGCTCGGCCCGGGCCGCCCCTCCGCCTGAGCACTCCTCAGACTGCGGTGTCCCCGCGCCCCGTCCCCGGCCGCAGCCCCCTCCCCGCGGCCTTACCGAGCGGCGGGGGCGCGGGGCAGCGCCGGGACGGAGGCGCCTGGCGAGTGTCGCTGTCCCCTGCGGGCCCGGCGGGAGGAGGAGCGGGGAGGGGAGCCGCGCTGGCCGCGCGCCGAGCGCACTACCCTGCTGGCCGCAGGGGGGCGGGGCTCGCGCCGCCCGGCCAATCAGCGCCGCGCCGCGCCCGGCACTGGCCAATCAGCGCGAGCGCCTGAGGGGAGACAGGAGCTGAGGGGGACACGGCTGAGGGGGACACGGCTGAGGGAGACACGGCTGAGGGAGGACAGGGCTGAGAGGGACAGGGCTGAGGGGGACAGGGCTGAGGGGAGACAGGAGCTGAGGGGACACGGCTGAGGGGAGACAGGAGCTGAGGGGATGGGTGCTGAGGCGGACATGGCTGAGTGGGGCTGTGGGGGACATGGCTGAGGGGAGCTGAGGGGAGAGAGGAGCTAAGGGGACACGGCTGAGGGGGACACGGCTGAGGGAGACACGGCTGAGGGAGGACAGGGCTGAGAGGGACAGGGCTGAGGGGGACAGGGCTGAGGGGGGCAGGAGCTGAGGGGGACAGGAGCTGAGGGGACATGGCTGAGGGGACATGGCTGAGGGGAGACAGGAGCTGAAGGGACACAGGAGCGGAGGGGACAGGAGCTGAGGGGAGACAGGAGCTGAGAGGACAGGAGCTGAGGGGAGAGAGGTGGGACACGGCTGAGTGGGGACAGGGCTGAGGGGACATGGCTGAGGGGAGACAGGAGCTGAAGGGACACAGGAGCGGAAGGGACAGGAGCTGAGGGGAGACAGGAGCTGAGAGGACAGGAGCTGAGGGGAGAGAGGAGCTGAGGGGGACACGGCTGAGGGGAGAGAGGAGCTGAGGGGATGGGGCTGAGGGGAGAGACGAGCTAAGGGGACACAGCTGAGGGGGACATGGCTGAGAGGGGCTGAGGGTGCGCGGCTAAAGGGACAAGGCTAAGGGCATGAAGGAGACCCCAGCTTTGGGAAGGGTGATGTGGGGCAGGAAAGGGCGATATTTAAAGCGGCAGGGGAAGCCCTGGGAGCGTGTGCACGCCTGTGTGGCACGGCACTCGGGGCTGTGGAGGAGCTGAAGGAGGCTGCTGACAGAGCAGGGCCCAGGGACAGATGGAGCCCAGCCGCCCCTCCAGGTGGCTGAACAGCAGGGACCACTCGTGCTGCTGCTCGTAATCCCCCGTGGCCCTTCTGGCCCAGAAAGGCAGCCCTCTGCACGTGCAGGAGGGCAGGAGGAGAGCAGGAAAACAGGATCAAGGGATGAAGTGTAGATAGCAGGATGGTGAGGGATGAAGGGATGTGTTTTTACAGCAGGCACAGCTGCAGAGTCACAGAATCACAGACTGTCTTAGATTGGAAAGGACCTTAAGGATCATCCAGTGCCACCCCTGCCATGGTAGGGACACCTCCCACTGTCCCAGGCTGCTCCAAGCCCAGTGTCCAGCCTGGCCTTGGGCACTGCCAGGGATCCAGGGGCAGCCACAGCTGCTCTGGGCACCCCGTGCCAGGGCCTGCCCACCCTCACATCTACCTTCCTTCAGTTTAAAGCCATTCCCTGTGTCCTGTCCCTCCATGCCTTGTCCCTAGTCCCTCTCCAGCTCTCCTGAAGCCCCTTCAGGCCCTGGACCTCCCGACCCCTGAGTGTCCCTCTTGTCATTGCTCTGCAGTCGGACACCGAGCACAACTGAGTGTGCCCATCCAGCCCCTTCCTCATCCAGCGAGTGCTCCATCCAGGAAATCCCTGTCCCTCCCCTCTGGGGACGAGGATGTGGTGTGGGACAGCGTGGAACACTGTGCACAAGTCCGGGTGGGTGACACCGGTCACTGTTCCCTCATCCACCACCACTGTCACCTCATCCATCACTGTTCCCTCATCCACCACTGTCACCTCATCCATCACTGTTCCCTCATCCACCACCACTGTCGGCTCCATGTTTGCCCTCACTGAAACCATTTCCCGTGGCTGAAACTCCCAGGGACGAGCGTGAGGTGACACTGGGTTGGTGCAGTGACAGCAACCACGCGGGAGGAACATCCAGCCTCACTCTTCAGGGAGAAACCATTACAGCGTGCTCTGGGAGTTCACCCGGGCAGAAGGGAGGGACACTGTCCCCTGCCTGTTGACAGCCAGGCTCCTGCATGTCCCCGAGGGCTCTGTGTCACCCATCTGCCCAGAGGGAGCTGCAGAGCTACTAAATCATGAAAACACGGGACACGCTGGCCTGCCAGATAAGCAAATCAAAGCCCGGTGACTAAATTAAAACAAAAATAGGTGTGTCTCATGTCTGGTCACTGGAGGAGGAAACACCCTCGGCATGAGGTGTGGGAGGGGGCACACCCCATCCAGGCAGGGTTAAGCTGCACCCTCTGCCCACCCCTCTCCCAGCCTCCTGAGCCTGGGTACCTTTCCAGGGTCGGAGCTGGAAAGGGGAAATCCCGTGTCCTGATGAAAGGCAGATCCATAACAACTGCTTGTACCATGTGCTATTTTTAAGCTCTGAGATAAAATAGCATCCTGATGGTTCTGTTTGGGAGGGTCGGGCAGCAGTTTGAATTTCAGGGCTGTCCCAGCCTACCCTGATCATCAGACATTTAAAGATCCCTCTCTCTCCTCCGGAAATCCACCTCTCTTCCCCTCTGGAGACTTTCTTTTCTGCTGTCTGTCTCCAAGACAGGGTGCACCCTGACCCTAGAGCAGGACAGTGCTTCCTGTGTCTGTGGAACAGACTCAGTAACTTAAAAAAAAAGCAGGGGTTACAACACAATAATACAACAAAAATGATTGGGTTACATCAGTGCATGTCCGACCACTGGGCTGACTGCTTTTGGCTTCTAAAAGAGCTTCTGGGTCATTCCTTCTAAATTCTGAGCCTAGAATTTATTCTCCAAAAGAAAAACCTGAGAAGCCAAAGCCAGGCCTTGAGTGCACAGTGATCACACAGGAGCAAACCTTTGGTGGATTAAGGACACGGTGTGCCCAGGCTTCCCCCTGTCACACCACAGCTCTGACACCTCACCCAAATCCCAGCCAGGTACACCTGAAATCAGAGCCCTGTAAAGCCACAGGTGTGTCCATTGTAAAGCACAGATTGCAGCAGGCAACTGTCCATTGTAATCCAGGTATCCCTGTGGGATTGCACGAGGGCTTCTGACCTCCCCAAGCCTGGCTGTGTGACCCCGAGCTCCCAACAGCCCCACGGCTGTGGGATTTCCTTCCATGAAACCAAGGAAATCACAGATGGGATGGGATGGAGGGATGGAGGGATGGAAGGAAGGAAGGAAGGAAGGAAGGAAGGAAGGAAGGAAGGAAGACTTCCTTGGTTTAGTTTAAAATCTGATGTCTATTCTCTGCTTCCTGGGAGCAACCTCAGGCCACACTCCATTTGTTGCCTCCCCACATACTTCACCTGTGCAAAAATTCAAAGCATCTCCTTTATCTTTGTTTGTCCCTCTGAAGAAAATAACCTGTTTTCTTTCCACTTGCTTTTCCAGACTCCGAGTCCTCCCCATCTCCATGTGGCCTGGAAGGGAGGGCAGCAGGAACCAATGTCCTTGGTGTGAGGCAGACAAGATCTGTGAGACGCCAGAGGTGTGTCTGTCCTTGTCCCAGCACAGGGGGGTTTTGTTTGGTGGGGTTGGTGGCAGGAGAGAAGGTGTTTAGGCAATGGCTCTGCCCTTTCATCAGGCCAGACAGGGAAAGTGGCTGTGGAAAAGGAAAAGGGCCCAGCTCATCTCCCTAAGGAGTCACTCCTGGCCAGCCCCATTAGCCCAGCAGGGCAGGTAGGGCAGCCAGCACCGGGCTGCTCTCAGCGTGGGCCTGGCCCGTGCTGGGTGAGTCCCCTGTGGGCACCAGCAGAGCTGGAAAGGGAAAGCTCGGTCTGGGGAACGCTCGTTTGTCACCGCTTTGATGGGAGCCGCTGCAAATGAAGGACGCTGGGTGACACAGGCCATCCCAGGGCACTGACAGCACAAGGGCTGGAGATAAGAGTAATGAACCCGGCAGCTTTCCTGCCTGTTTGGCAAGAGTTCATCATTCCCTGCCCAAAGCAGGGCTGTGGGTGCCCACAGGGGCAGCGCTGCGGGGTCTGCCCGAGCTCCGGGGTCTGTCCAAGCTCTAGGGTCTGCCCAAGCTCTGGGGTCTGTCCAAGCCCTGGGGTCCGCACAGGCTCTAGGGTCTGTCCAGGCTCTGGGGTCTGTCCAAGATCTGGGGTCTGCCTGGGCTCTGGGGTCTGTCCAGGCTCCGGGGTCTGTCTGAACTCCAGGGTCTGTCCAGGCTCCAGGGTCTGCCCAGGCTCCGGGGTCTGTCCAGGCTCCGGGGTCTGTCCAGGCTCCGGGGTCTGTCTGACCTCCAGGGTCTGTCCAGGCTCTGGGGTCTGTCCAGGCTCCGGGGTCTGTCTGAACCCCAGGGTCTGTCCAGGCTCCAGGGAAGCGGCACTGCCAGGGCTGAGCTGTCACTCCTCACATCCCTCACTCATCCCGGACAGGCAGCAGAGCCCGTGCAGGGGTCATGTCCAAAAAGGAGCACCCAGCAGTGCAGTCAGTCAGTAATGAACCTGAACTGTAATGAGGAGAAAAACTCATGAAGCAGATCTGGAAAGAATTTGAGTGGAATTGCCTCCACACTTAGAACAGCACCCACAGACTCTCATCTTTAGGAAATTTTGTCTCATTCACTTTTGAAAGTGAATGTCTGTAAGCAGCTTGGAGAGTTTGAATACTTTGACAAAACAAATGTCTCATCACTGCCCTATCACGGATCAGGGATGCAAGGAGAAGGTAACTACTCAATGAGGCAGGACGCTGCTCTGGAGACAACAAAAGCATTGTGGGTCACTGGCAGACATTTGCCAGCCAGCCAGGGGCTGTTCTGCTCATCAAAGCTGACTCCAGCACAATGGAAGGCATGGAATTTCGGCCAGGGATCCCTGCCATCCCAGAGACCTGTCAAGGCTCTCTGACTGGTCATGGGATTTGCCTTGCAGCTGGCACACCCCGTGATCTCCTGATCTGGGATCTCTCCGTCAGCTGTAACCTGCTGTGGAGCCACAGAGGAAGAGGAGGAAGAGGAGGAAGAGGAGGAGGAAGGTGGCTGGGGGCTGCACTGAGGCTGG